GGGTTTAAATCTGTGTGGGGGGCAGCCGAAGCAGGGCTGTTCTACTTGTGGGTTTACAGGTGCCGGGCTTTCTAGACCTACGTGTATACATGGGCATTGGTTGCCTGGTGCATGAGTTTAAATGCCCCAGATGTTGGGGGAGATCATCAGTTCCCCCTCAAGCCTGTCAGCTTGTGCACTGTGTTGCCTATGCAGGGCTTCCGGACTGCACAGGTTTAAACTTCCTGAGCTGGGGGAGCTGACTGGCTCCTCCTACCCAGCACCAATGAAATCAAGCACTGCAGCCTGATGTATGGCTGCACCAGTCAGCTTTAACATGCCACACATGCAGATTGATGTGTGATACATCCAGGCACAAAAGATGTTTCATATATAACATCTCTAGCTGGTTTGCCTTTTTATTGCGCCATAATTTGCTTGCATATGTAGCATCTTACAATTTATGGAGTGATTACATTTTTGGTGTGTTTAACAGTTTAATGTCTGCCTTGAGCCTTATTGTCCTACCTAATTACAGTCTTATCTGCTCTTACCAGGCAGATAATTTGATAACATTAACTTGAAGACTAATCAATCAGAGAAGGTTAAGAGAAGACAGAGAAGACTAATCTATCAGAGAAGAAAAATTATCCTTGTGCATGTCTTCAGATTGTACTGCAGGGCAGTTTTAGCAGTTTGGCAAAGCTTATATTCCACAGTTCTATAAATGCCACATGTTTTCCATTAACTTTGGAGTTGTTAGTCAGAACATCGTCATTTTCTCCATTTTTTTTTTTAAAGTAAACAATGCCTGATGTTGGAATGGTGTTGTGTTTGAATTGCAGATCACTTTAACTTGCATGGTGAAGTTGGTTAAGTGTCGCCCCCATCTGAGCCAGTCAGTGGTTGAATCCTTGTTGACGCAGCTGCACAGTGCTCAAGATGTTGCTAGAATTCTCATGTGCCATTGTTTAGCAGCTATTGCGGTGCAGCTGCCGGTCTTAGCTGATGGAATGCTGGGAGACCTAATGGACCTATATAAAGTGATTGGACGATCTGCCACAGATAAAAAGCAGGAACTTCTGGTAAGAAACTACTGTTCTGGAGACCTGTCCTTGATGGAACAAGGACAGCATGAAATTACCATGTTTTCTTGCATACTACACTCATCTTTTCCATAAAATTATCTCATAAAAATTAGGGTGCATGTATTAAGTGGGGAAGCTGGGTTTTCTGCCTGAGATTAGAAACACCTTGCTTTTTCTGCCCCACAGTACAGCAGTTGTTGCCTTACTATTCAGGCAGTTGAGGGAGTCCTGCTCTATGCAGCCATAACTCCAGAAAGAAAAAATCTTTTTTCCCCTTCCTTCTGCCTTTCAAAAATAAATTGTGTAATATATTCCATGGTGTGTTATATACAAAAACAAATGGTACTGTAAAAATTAACTGGCATTTCATAAGTCTGTTTAGCTAATTGTCTGTCAAAGTGCTAAGCTCGGTGGCCTCAGTGTGATTGTCAGTTTGACTGTTAACTGTATGTATGAAGAATAGGGAATAATCTTGTTGTACAGCACCAAATCCACAGATCTCTTGGCATAGCTAGTTCGCTGGCATTAAGATTGGAGCCAGCTTGCCCAGTAACACCAGCACTGCTCCGAATTTGTCATCTCCTGAACTAGAAGCAGTGTTATGTTGTGTGGTCTTATGCCTAGGCTAACTAGCACGTCTACTGCTTCTAGAGCAGAAGGTAGCATATGTAAAGCAGCACAGTATCTTTCAATGTGGTATTGCCTGGTAGAGTAAAATAGAGTCTAGACAGGCCTTCACTTAGCTAAAAAAACATAATATGTAATATCTGATCAGGTGTGTCCTCCAGTAGATGGCACTAGTTCCATGTTGACAGGTTCTATAGATCAGGGATAGGCAACCCTGGGCTTGCATGCCAGATCATGGTGCTTGGTGCACGTGCCTCAGGGAAGGGACTGGGGCTGCGCTGCCACAGCAAGGATTAGGCCCCTCATGGCTCCCCCCCCCATCTGCCCCTAGCACGTGGATGTCATCTTACAAGTCAGTCCCGGGTGTTCATGACACTGGCCAAAAAATTTGCCAGTCCCTGCTCTAGATCATTACTGTGTACCACCAGACCTCTAGGGACCTCTTGAAGTGCTTTCAGAAAAAACACAATGACTTCAAAAGTGAATACCCCAGTTATATATAAGCCTTTAACGCATCTGATTGGACAGTACTGTAGATAAAGGGGCATTTGAATTGGAAATGACTATAGTCTGTCAGGAAGCTGTTTTTTCTTACATTTATATTAAATAAATGTATTTCAGTGACTTTACAGTGACTGTCAGCTGGGATCTATTTCTATTTTAACACTCCCAAGAACAGTGTAATCTCATTTACCAAGCTTCAGTGATGGAAAAAGCCCTTGTAATATCATGTTGCTGGATATCCTAAACTAGCAAAGTTTTGACACTCAAGTATTGAGTAATTTTTATCTTGTGTGTGGTTTTAAGCATTCAAGATTAGAAAGCTTCTGACACTTCTAGAAATGCACAAGTGGAGATTTTTTAACTGTGCTGTTGGTGGTGATTTGTTTTCCTTTAGGTATCTCTTGCTACGGTGATATTTGTTGCCAGTCAGAAAGCGTTATCATTGGAAGTTAAAACTGTTATCAAACAGCAGCTTGAAAATGCCTCAAATGGCTGGACAGCTTACAGGATAGCCAGGCAAGCCTCCAGAATGGTAAGTGCAGGTTTTTAAAATGGGATAGCTCTTCCTGGTCAAGTCTGATTGAGAGGTGAAAGTAAGAAAAATACAAGGATTTAGGAGGACAGAGATAAAAAGAGAGGGGAAAATAGGCCTTTCCCCCTTTTAAGTGTATTGTAACATTGGCTCATATTTGTAAAATTGGAATTTGTCTCATGCTGCTGTTATGAGTCTCGCTCAACATGCAGTGAAGAAAGGTGTGGTTCAGTGATTAGGAATAAGAATGTTTTCTAATCCCAGTTTAGACTAGCTTTCTTTTCCCTTTTTGTCTTGGGCTAGTCATAGGCATTTGCATAATTGGCACAATTTTCCTAGCTTGTGTGGATGAACTAAAGGTTAATATTTGTAAAACACTTTGGAAAAGAAAGCAGTAGGTAAGACTTAATGCAGAATTCTGGATTTGTTTTTTAGAGCTGGATCTGTTTTCCTCCCTCCTTGGCTCTCTTTCAATAAAAAGTGTCATTTTTCTACACAGTGATGTCTGTCAGATAAATGTATCTGTGCTACTGCATCTCACTAGAACCTCCTTGACCAAATGTTGAATATTTCTCTATAGAAACTTTTGAAGTCAGTAGAAGCAGCTGAGGACTTGGGGGTAGTAGTTCATGGTGGTATTTGCTGATATAACCTAATGTCTTTTCTGTCTTCTCTCTTTGTCTTTTCTTAGGGCAATCATGACATGGCCAGAGAGCTTTATCAAAGCCTGCTGACTCAGGTAGCTTCAGAACACTTCTACTTCTGGCTGAATAGTTTGAAGGAGTTCTCTCATGCAGAGCAGTGCCTGACAGGGCTTCAAGAAGCTGATTACAGTTCAGCACTTTCTTGCATTGCTGAATCCTTAAAATCCTATCACAAAGGGATAGCATCACTAACGGTTAGTACGCGTTTTGTACTTCAGTAGTGGTGGGTCTGTTGGTTATAGCTACAGTCCTCATTTTCTGTTTATACATGAGTCTTTTTTCAACGGCTTGGAGAACTGAAGGAAATCTGCTAGAACAACTGTTTTGGAACGACATGTAGGGGAAAGGAACTTTTAGGCCGC